TGAGGTCAGGAGTTTCAGATTTTTTTCCCACTAGCATGTGTCTCACCCCCACTCTCATGTTCAGAACAGTGCCTGACACAGGAGGCACTCAGGGATACCCGGGGGGTGTCAGGGTGCTTTGGTGGTGGGTGCTGTCATGCTGTCAGGGGACGAGGGACAGTTCCTGCACCAGCAGCCCAGAGGGCTGGGTTCCCCGTGCCTGGCTCTGCCCCTGACTGGCTGGCGGACCTCAGTCTCAGGTTCCCTGGGTGTCGATGGATAGTACTCAAATTTTTCATTTTTAACTGGTGGAAAAAAATGTCCCAAATGTTTTACTATTTCCCAAAGTAAAACAGCTACAGCTGAGCCGCGAGCAGGTGCGGGTCAAGGCTGCTGGGGCAGTTGGGGTGGGTTTGTGGGGAGACTGGGAGGCTCACACCGGTGGAGCCATCCTGATGAGGACTCCATTTCTCTGAGGGTCCCGGGCCCCACCCTGCCTCCCCCACACTCCCCATCTTTCCTGTTGGACGTCAGCCCACACCTCACTCCCCCAGGCACCTGAGTCCTCGTCTCCATCCCAGCCGAACCCTGCCTGCCCCAAATGCTTTCAAAGAACCCCAGACAATCCCATAGCCACCTCCTCCACCCCTGCCCAGGCCCTCTCCTCGGGAAGTCACAGTCTGCAGCCCTGGAGAGCAGCTCAGGGAAACAATCGTTCCTGTTGTAACAAGATAATAACCGCACGCAATGCTAAGGTTTTTTCTGTCACTTAATTTACCTGAAATAAGAAAACGATATGAACAATTTCCTTGTAGTGGTGCAAAGACACCACAACAAAGATCAGCCCCAGTGAGGAGCAGTCCAAAGGTCCCTACAGCCTTGAACAGCCATCCAGAGCACAGTCCTTCCTGAGTCTAACCTTAACTCAACCTGCTGCAGTCCCGCAGTGCCCCTGTCTCCCAGATCCAGAGCTTTGAATCACGACAGGTTTGGGAGATGGTTCCCTGAGTCCCCCCACTAACTTGCTGTGGGACCATGAGCCACTCTGTCTGAGCCCCAGCAAAGCGAGATGCTCCCCAACCCCCGCCTCCCTGCCACCCCCTCTTGCCTGTCAGCGGCGATGGCTGTCATGGAGTAGATGCTGACAAACGTGACTGTGATGGGGAAGAGGTTCTGAAAGTAGCAGAAGACGCGGCCGAAGTACCAGATGTTGTGGCTGGCATAGACGAAGTTGAAGGTGGCATTGAAGGTGGCCATGCACAGGTCAGCCAGGGCCAGGTTGACGATGAAGTAGTTGGTGACAGTGCGCATCCTCTGATGGGCCAGGATGATCCAGATGACTGTGGCATTGCCTGTCACAGCCACCAGCACCAGGGCCAGGTAGGCTGTGGCCCACAGAGCCAGCTGCCAGCCAGGCATGGAGAAGGCGGTGATGTCTGTGGTGTTGCTCTCAAGGCCAGATGAGATGTTGGCATCGCTCAGAAGGGCGCAGGCCCCCATGGCTGGGTCTGGGTCTGGGTCCAAGCTCTGGGTCCAGGGGGCCTGGCTCCACAGCTCCTCCTGGATTTGTTACGGAAGAGAAATCCGCTTTGGTATGTCGCTATATGGGGGCAAAGAGGGGCGGAGAGAGGACCAGATGCCAAGTGAGCCACACCAGCCTGGGGGCCACGCCTACATCTCCAAGATGAGTCTGGCTGAGCGAACGCCCAGCCAAGCTATTATCACGTCAGATTCCTGCACCCGGGCCAGACTCTCTCATGTCTCCGGGACATCTAGAATTTAAATCCTGTGCCAGAGCAGGAGACATCCTCATAAATCATCAGGTCAACCTCTTCACTGACTGACTGAGTCTAAGGGAGGATGTGACCGCTGAGGTCATAAGTCAGAACTTGAATCCAGGCCTCTCCTAAGGCTCCTCAGTAAAAATTCCAGATGAGAGTCTGTACAGGGGGGTAGATCCCCCAGGCTACGGTGCAGCGGGCCACCTCTCCAGGCCTTGGGGTGCAGGCGGCCTGGGGGCTCACAACCCAGGGGCCAGCCCGTGGCCACTACTCCCCAGCTGCTCTTCCCAGGGCCTTGGCAGAGGCTCTGCCTGCTCTTGAGGCCCTCATCCTACCCCCTGCTTGGCGGGGCCTTGTCTCTTGAAAGATTTAAGACGGCCTGCAAGGCGGGGCAGCGGCCTTCCTGGAAAACAGGCGCAGCCGGGAGGGGCTGGCATGGAGGGCACAGTCCTCAGAGGTGTTTACACTCTGCCTGGGACAGGAGCTTCATCTAGAGAGTGATCGGAGTACATATTTGGGAGCCTGGCTCTGCGACTCCGGGCATCTTTCTAAAAAGGAAGTCTTTGTGGGATGGTCAGAGATGCCCAGGGGTGTCAGGGTGCTCTGGGGTGGGTGCTGTTGGGTGACTCTGCCCTGCACCAGCCGCCCAGAGGGCTGGGTTCCTTGTGACTAGCGGCAGACCTCAGGCCATCCTGCTCACCTCCAGCCTCAGTTTCCCTGGGCTTAGCTGAACAGTGCTCAAACTTTTCATTTTTATCTGGAGGAAAAAAATTTCCCAAATGAAATCTGCAGGGAACCTCTGGGGTAAAACAGCTACAGCTGAGCCGTGAGAGGCTGCAGGTGGAGGTTGACAGGGCAGTTGGGGTCACTCTGTGGGGGGTGATAGGGGAACTAGCTTCGTCCGTCATCTGAAGAATTTAGAAAAGAAAAAAAAGTGCGCACCTCATAGTATATTTGAGAATTTCCAATGAGATATTGTGTGTAAAGTCCATTTAGCCCAAAGATGGTACATAAAAAGCATGACATGGATTTATGACCTCAAGGGAAGTCCCCAGGAGCCCAGGCCTCTGCAGCAGGGAGAAAAGAGAACCTGGAGCGTTTCCAACCAGATCCCAGGGGAAGTTGATGCTGCTCCGGGGCCTCGCTCCCCCTGCCCGGCTTCTCCCCCTGTGTTTTCCAACCCACGGCCTCCCGCCTCCCTGGTGGAGCTGGGAAAGACCCCGAAAGCTCTCCAGTGTTCAGAGACCAGGCTGCCCCTGGAATCCAACATAGAAACAGCGCTAGGCTGCTCATCATGAAACTTAAACCTTTGCTAAAACTGAAAGAGATTCTTTCTAGATTTTTCTGATTGTGAACTTCTGGGTAAATGTATCAACACTCAACCCTAAAATCATGCCTCTTGTTGGTGTCCTTGCTGTGCTGATGTGTAAACCGTCCTGGGTCTAGGGGGATCCTTGTCCTTGGGGTAGAGGCTGCTTCCTGGTCCCTGCTCCTTCCTGGGGGTGTGTGCTGGAGAACTCTGGGACTCTCGCCTCCCCAGAGCCAGCTCCAGACAGAACTGGCTGGATCACGGGGCCTGCCCTGTTCCCTCTCTGGAGCGGGCCACTATCATTTATTTGGACTTTGGTCCCCTGCTGAAGGGTCTCTGCCTTGTGGCTCCTTGGGTGGATGCAGCAGCTGTATCCACTCCACTCTGGGCCTTGTTTCTGTCTTGCCTGGGCCCTCGACGGCCTGTGTGCAGAGATGCGAATGCAATCACAAGACAACCTTCTCTCTGCCTTCCTGGCCTCCTGCTCTCAGGCAGCCAGAATTTGTTGAGCTTTGAGTGCAAACAGTGCAGGGCTGGGTTGCCTGAGAGCATGTCACAAGTCACAGAAGCCCAGAATAGAACACGCCGGCCCCAATGTCCCGCCACCTCCATTGTGTATGTAACGGGATTATGTTTTACAGCTACTAAATCTGAGTTTTATTTCCCCCTTAAATCATAGGCTCTTGTAACCTTCCAACTATGTGCTATAGGACTTGCAGCCTTGTAGCTGGAGAGGGTAGGGCCTCCCAGGACAGATGGGGTTTCTGCCAGAAAGCTCTTCCGGCTGGCTTTTTTTAGTACCAGAGATTGAACTTTCAACCCAGGGGTACTTAACCACTGAGCCACATCCCCAGCCTTTTTTATATTTCATTTAGAGACAGGGTCTCACCGAGTTGCTTAGGGCCTCACTGAGTGGCTGAGGCTGGCTTTGAACTGCAATCCTCCTGCCTCAGCCTCCGGAGCTGCTGGGATGACAGGTGAACTCCACTGCAGCCGGCTCAATGCTGGCCTTCTGAGCCAATAGCTGGCCAATGGTCTCAAAGGCCAGCCTTTGTTAAAGGAGAAGAAAATATTCCAAGATCCTCTATCCTATGGACACATCAAGAACGAAGGGCTTGCCCATGGAGGTTGTGTAGGGTAAGTCCCACCTGGGACATGGAGGAGAAAGCCTGCCCATGCACTCAGGCCGGGACTGAGGCTGACAATGCAGATTGGGTACTTTCATGAAGCAGTTCCGATTCAGAGTCCAATGTGCAGGACGCTGATGTGGGAGATCCCTTGGGATCAGCATCTGGAAGGCAGGGGGCATGCAAGAGTGGGTGGTGGAGGGTGCTGAGCTGGGTGCAGGTCCCAGAGCAGCTGGGGCAACTTCCTAGTGGCCAGGAACTAGAAAGGCCTTTGAGAGCTTCCCTGTGGGGCAAAAGTGGCCAGGGCTTTCTATTTCCACGTGGATCGTTGGATGGGGGCCACCCCAAGAAGAAGTGTGACAGTTGACAAGGCCTAACGAGGGTGACAGCTAAATACTATCCCCAACAACACAGGCAGCAGCTTGCCAGGGCATCTGGGCAACACAGCAGGGTCCCCCACAGATGAACAGCTTTTTGGACAGGGGTGTGTGCTTCTGAGGGTGCCTTGCTGGTTTGTTATTGTGACCTCCAGGCTAGAGCCCTGACGACTAGAGTTAGGAGAATGTCTTAGGTGGTTTTCCATTATGACAAAACACCCAAGGCCGGGTAACGCATTAAAAAAAAGAGATTTATTGAGCTCACTGAAAGTCCAGCAGCATGGTGCCAGCTCTGGCAAGGGCCCTCCTAACTAAATCAGATCATGGTGGGTGGTAAGGTGGCAGGAGTGTATGTGAGAGGCAGTGAACACTTGGTGACACAGAAGGCCAGAGAGACCAGAAGAGGCTGGTCTTGCTGTTTTATAATAACCCTCTCTTGAGAACTAACTGGGACCCCATGAGAACTACATTATTCCTTTCAAGGGCAATGCCCCCAATGACCTAACCAACTCCCACAAGGTCCCACCTATTAAATGTCCCACCACTTCAGGCCTGGCACGGTGGCACACGACTGTAATCCCAGCTACTCAGGAGGCTGAGGCAGGAGGATCACAAGTTTGAGACCAACCTGAGCAACTTAGAAAAATCCTTCCTCAAAAAATAAGAGTCTCGGGGCTGGGGATGTGGCTCAAGAGGTAGCGGCTCGCCTGGCATGTGTGCGGCCTGGGTTCGATCCTCAGCACCACATACAAATAAAGATGTTATATCTGCCGAAAACTAAAAAATAAATATTAAAAAATTCTCTCTCTCTCTCTTAAAAAAAAAAAAAATAAGAGTCTCACCTCTTGTCAATATCACTGGGGACCAGGCTGCCAACACAGGCGCTCTATGAGCACACACTGGAACTATACCCAAACTCTAGCAGAAAGGGATTATTTTTCAGAGAGTTTGGAGGGAAGAAAATGTAGGAATAGATGTAAGTTATGAGGCAAGTGAATGGAAAATAAAAGGGGGGCAGGAGGTGGATTAAGTGCTCCTTCCACAGGAGCCTTTAGAGGAGGCCCACTGAGCCTCTGGACGGGGACTGCTTTGCAGCCTGGCTTCCGAGTCTCATGCAGCATTGGGGACATTAGTTCTGGATAGCACCGAAGGTCACCTATTGACCATGGAGTCGTGCCGGGTGGTGACAGTTTGGATCTGGAACGTACTCAGGGCTCACGTGGTGAAGGCTTGCTCCTCAATGCAGCAGTGTTGCAGTGGGGCTTTGGGAAGTGACTGGCTCATGAGGGCTCTGACCGTAGCAGTGGATTAAGTCATCGGGCTCATGACTGGATGGATTATTGGGAGGTGGTGGAAACGAGGGGAGGCCTCGTTGAAGGAAGGAGGCCAAGGGGGCAGCCCTAGAAGGATACATTGTATCCCTGCCTCTCCTCTTCTCTTTTCCTTCCTTCTTTCCTTCCTTCCTTCTTTCTTCCTCTCCCCCTCTCTTCCTCCCCCCTCCTCCCCCCTCCCCCTCCCCCCCTTCCCCCTCTCCCCCTACCCCCCTCTCTTTCCTGGCCACCAGAGATGAGCAACTTTTCTCCACCACACCTCTCCCCATGATGTTCCTCCTTCCTTCAGGCCTAAAGCAATGGAACCGGCCAACCATGGACCAAAGCTTCTGAAACCTTGAGCCCAAATAACCCTTTCCTCCTGAGGTTGACTTTCTCGGGTCTTTTGTCAGTGACCGAAAGCTGACTCACGCCGAGGCAAAAACGAGCATCAGGACCATGTGCTGAGCTTCGACTCAGCTTCATAGACCAGGATACTCCATTCTGAGGCTATCTTTGTCTTTCCTATATTTGGGGTTAAAATGCACTCTCTTTCATGAAATGAAGGTGATGGCAGGTGGTAGGAGGTAACTTGG